TCCCAACCATACGAATGGACCTCCTCTGGACCCTCTCCAGGTTCTCCATGTCCTTCTTGAAGTGCAGCGCCCAGAACTGGACACAGTACTCCAGCTGCGGCCTGACCAGCGCTGCATAGAGGGGGAGCAAGACCTCTCTGGACCTGTTAGTGATGCCCCTGTTGATGCATGACAGGGTGCGGTTGGCTCTGCCTATTGCTTTGTCGCATCAGCGACTCGTATTCATTCTGGAGTCAATCGTGACTCCAAGATCCCTTTCTGCCTCTGTGATGCTGAGAGGGTTAGCCCCTAACCTATAACCATAATGCTGGTTCCCTCTCCCTGGGTGCAGCACTCTGCAGTTGTCCTTGTTGAACCACATCCTGTTCAGATCTGCCCACTTCTCTAACCTATCCAGGTCTGCCTGGATGTGGTCCCTGCCTGCTGGCGTATTCACTTTACCCCACAGCTTGGTGTCATCAGTGAACTTGAACAGGGTGCTCTCCACACCCTCGTCCAGGTCGCTAATGAAGATGTTGAACAGCACCGGCCCAAGAACCAAGCCCTGGGGGACTCCGCTGCCCACGCCCTCCCAAGTCGACATCGACCCGTCCTCCACCACACTCTGGGTGCGCCCCTGGAACCAGTTTGCCACCCATGTGACCATGCATTCGACAATGCCGCAGTCCTTCAGCTTGCCCACCAGAATTGGGCAGGACACTGTGTCGAAGGCCTTCTGGAAGTCCAAGAAGATGACATCAACTTCCTCCTTCACATCTAAGCTCTTTGTTACCTGGTCATAGAAAGAGACCAGGTTAGTCAGGCAGGATCAGCCTTGCACAAACCCATGCTGGTTACCCATCAACATCACTTCCCCTGCAGGGCTCTCACAAGTCTATAAGGTGAAAATCTACCCAACTTTCTGCCTGACTTCTAACATGGTTAACTGCCTCTCTCTGTTACCTTTTAAAGTCAGCTTCACTGGGGCCAAGATTTTACCCCACGCTACCCACATGCACGTGGAAATATTTCTATATGCCATGCCCATTACACTGAATTAAGTAAAATATCTCTAGTTGCATTGTGTACACAGAAATATTTCCATCTGTTACTTTAGGCAAAAGTGAAGCTACTGAACTGAAAAGTGATTGTAAACCTGGCATCTGCTTATGTTGTTTGGCTCTGCATGCATTTTCAAAATTGCAACTTTTCAACTTACATTTTAAAAAGATGCATCTTAACTACTGTTGGGACTGCAGAGCCAATAGTCTCGCAGAAGGGTGAGCTGGAACCTACTTTGTTTTGGCTGTCGGCCACTAAATTATCAGATGAATTCTGATTCCATAAATCTAGCAAAAAGTGGGAAAGAAACCTTTCTCTAAAGAGTCTACATCAAATCTGGAATATAGCCTGTTAAAAAAAAGATAGTTTTGTTTATCAGTGAAGGTCTCATTTAATAAATTAATCTTTTCAACATCAAAGTTTTACCCTTGCCAATTAGCTGGCAGGATTGGGGCCTTAGAAAAGACTCTGAAAATCTTTGAGGAATAGCTAAATGTTCTTCATTATAGTTTGTTTTGAGCATAATCTAACTTCTTTTCACATCTGTTGTTTCACTGACATACAGACTTGCAAATTAAGGATATTCTGAATTTCTACATAATTCAAGCATTTCTAATTTCCCTTGACTGTCAAGCAGAGCACTTTCTATTGTGAAAAACAGAGGCAGAAATGAAATCAATCCTCTTGCTGCATGTAAACAGTGTATAATTTCTGATTCTGTGGTAGAAAAATTTTGTTGAGGATACACCAATATTGTGGCTTCTTTTGTGGAAGGCGAGAAACCAAAGCTATAATACTACCTATCATGTACATAGTCGTGTATATATCTAGTTTCTGAAGGGGTATGTATGGCTTTGTAATGGAAAATATTTGAGAGCACGCGTGTGTGTGTGTGTGTGCATGGTACAACAACTTTGATATAGTTGAGAAGGTAAGACTTGAATGTAGAGGAGATTGCAGAGTAAGAAAGTAAGTTTAAAATATTAAATATGGTCCAGAAATACTCAGAGGTTTTTGCAAAGCCTGGCTACAGGAATCAGCCTGTGAAAGGATGCCGTATTAAAGAAATATGAGTAGGCTTTGTCACTTGTAGGCAAAGATAAAAAGGAAGGTGTTAAGCAGAGAACTCCAGCAGCGGCTCCTCCTGGTCGTGCTGTGCTACTCTGGGTGGGGAGGAAGCTTCAGCTGAGCAACTCCTATCCCAGCACATGGGGCTCCTGACCAGATGCCTTCCACCTGCTCTGCACACCCATGCTGGGTGCATGGAAGGCAACCTTGGAGCTGGAGCCCCACATGCTGGGGCAGGAGCAACCTGGCTGAAGCTCCCGGTTGCTTTCCACCCACTCAGCTCTCTGTGCCAGGCAAGCAGAGTGGATGGAAGGCAGCCAGCCAGCAGCTGGAGCCAGAGCCCTGCACGCTGGGGCAGGAGCCACCCAGCTGAAGCAGGAGAAGGAGCCACCACTGGAGGTGAGGGGAAGCCAAACAGCACCCAGGTGGTGGCTGCAGCTGCACTGGGAGCAGCCCCGCCTGTAAGCTGTGCATGCTGGTTGGGGTCAGACCAGCAGGCGCGAGCTAAAATGTGACAAGGGCTGCGCCAGGTAGGGCTTGGCCCCATCCGGAGGACCACACCATCTGGACAAGCTGTGCGGCACATGCCTCCTCCCTCACCCCCAGTCAGCTCCTGGGACCTAGCACCTGGGCAGCCCACCTGCTCTCCTGCCCCCCCCCAAGCAAATGCACATCCTCACCACAGGGCAGGGGGCATGCAGGGAGCAGATTGTAGCTCGACCCCAGCCCCATGCTCTCGTGGCCCCATGATCCTGGCCTTGTTTGCCCATCCTGGTCCTAAACAGTGATCCCCGCCTGCCCATACCAAATCTCCCTATGTGGGATAGGGCTGACTTGTTGCGAGAGGGAGGCAGGGGACTGACCCAGCCTGCCACAGCTCATCAAAACTCCTTATGTGGCCCCAGGTCCAAATAATTGCCTACCCCTGTGTAAGAGGGAGGATTCTGTTAGAAATACCCTCCTTCAGATGCTGGTTAATGCTAAATGGTTATTCAAATATTGCTTATAAAAAGTGATGTCCCAGCTAAAGTCTGTCTAGGAAAGTTATATTTCTGTCTGCTTCAGTCCCCTGTCCTGCTTATGCAACTGAAAAACAATGTTTCCCCCTTCCCATCATCTGTCTGTTTTGTAGCGCTGCTCTGAGCTGTAAAACTGATTTTCTTTTTTTTTTCTTTTTTTTTCTTCCTAGAGGTGGTATCTGTCATTTCAGTCATGAAAGCGTTGTCTCTGTTTGACTGTTTCACTCATTTCACCAGGTGTTCTGGGATCATTTAGGATGAAAGGCTCATATAAATACCATTTGTTGTTAGCATGTGATATTAGAAAGGGGCGGAAGATGGAGTGACTCCCTGAAGACCCTGGGGGCGGGGAAAGGAAGGTAGCTTTAAAAGCCCAATCAAACTTACAGGATGACTGTGATTGTAGTTCGCTAGCTGGAGAATGTGCTGTGCCCTGCAGCATTCATCTATTGGAGTCGAGCTTGTTTACCAGTGGAGTGTTCCTAGACACAAGATTAGGAATCATTCCTTTTCTTTGTTCAAAAGAGCTTGGGTTTGTTTCAGGGTATGCTAAAAAGTTCCTCTCTCTTCTGCCAGTGTTTCTTAAACTGCTGTGCTTAGTGAAAACCATCGAAGGTATGAGAGCAGAAGAAGAAAAAGCAAAATAGGGGAGGGGAAGGAAGGACAAGCTAAGAACAATTAAACAGCCATTGGAGAGGCCACAGTTTGATTGTAGTGACATAGTGGTACTTTATTTTCTGTAACACACAATCATAGGGGTATGCAGCAGCGGTAGACTAAACTTTAAAATGGTCTGTTACCCAAACCAGTTTGAGAGCCATTGCTTTTGGTCCTGCTTTTTCAACCAGGGTGGTGTTTACAGAGCAGGTTAGCCCAACCTGTGTGTTTTGTAGAGCACTAATGCTACATGTGATATATTTTTAAATTACCTGCAATATCTAGGTACAAAAGGATAATCAAGTATAAAACAAGTTTTTTTTTTTTCTTTTTATATTTCTGCAAACCTACAGACAATAGTTTTACTATTGTTATTAACATGCTCATAGTTACAATCTTTTAACTTTAAAACTTGAGCCTTCTAAAACAAACCTAAGTATCACAAAAGTGTAAATACATCCTGGACTAAGAGTTTTTCATAAATTTTGGATGCGCTTTAAACTATGCATCCGCAAAACTAAGAAAACAGAATGTCTCTTTCTTTTTTTCTTCCATCCATTAGCCAGAAAAATGGAATAAAATCAAACTGGTGGTAACGCAAGAAGATGTAGAGCTAGCATACCAGGAGGCAATGATGAATATGGCAAGGCTCAACAGAACAGGTGAGAACAGGAGAAGTGTGTGTGTTGATTTTGTTTTCAATCCACATTTAATTTCAGCTGTCTGCCATGGTGAAATAAGCTACATCAGTTCATCTTCCCACCAACACCCCCATCTTTCTTTTATTCAGTACATGTGAAACAAGGAAATTAAAAACCAAACATACTCTTAATTACAAAGTAAAGACACAAATGTTGCTGGAGATGATTATGCCTCATGTGGGTGAAGTGATATGAGTTGGTACAGATTTTAATGAGAGAGATTGTATTTGTTCCTTTTCTCTCTCTCTCTCTCTCTCCTCTTGAAGGCAGGGCAGGTTAACTATAAGATTTTTATTTTCACAAAAAACTTTTACATCTCTTTTTTTTTGCTTTGAATTCAAGATTTTGTGGCTGTTTTTTTCCCCCCTATGTTCTCCTTTCATTTTCTTTCCTCTCCCCCCTCTTCCCTCCTGCTGAAAAAGTAGTGCGTGGTTTCTTTTCTTCTATGGTAGAAAGCAGGGGGGGAAAAGTGTCAAGCCATGACTTCTCTCTCTTTGTTGGAGGTCCCTTTGAAAGAACAGAGAATTGAATTTGGCATTTTCCTTAGCCCTTAATTGAAGGGGCCGAGGTGTTTTTAAAAAACTCTCTCGTTTGTTCAGGTTTCACATGGTACTTGTTATGTCGTCTTACTAGACTTTCATTCTTTCACATCATCTTCCAGGGAAAAAAAGATGACCTGTTTTTTGGTGCAAAAGAGCTCTTTCAGGTCTTGTTTGTAGATCAGAAAGAACCCCCCCCCCCCAAAAAAAGTGGAAACGTTTTTGGTTTTTTTACTACTCTCTTTTGCAGGTCACGTTTAACATTTAAATGTTCTTTAACTAGAGCTATTGTCCTCGTATGGAGGTGTCTTTTTCCCCCAGCCAGGAGCTCAGCAGTTGCATATGCTCAAGAATTCCTTGAATGCCTCAGTGGGGAGGCTGGAGCATTATGGAGTTGATTCTGCCTGTCTATGTCTTTGCCTCTCTTTCCCTCTTCTTTAGGCTATCAGAATACAATCTGCAGATCCCAAATCAAAAGTCTTTAAAAGAATAAAAAGGTGTTGGGGGAAGGGAATAACCTAATCTGACTGAAATTTGCAACTAGTAGGTCAAACTGAAACTGTTAACTCATAATGCATCTGTTCCAAAATTTGAGGAAAATTTTTGGATCTAGATTTAGTTCCAGCTTTTCAGACTACTAATATGTGTAAGTAAGACATGTTAGTAAAACAGGCTCTTAAATTTACCTTATTTAAGCATTTGACATGATAGAGGATTTTCAGTGTAATATGTTAAAAACAACATAAATGTCACTTTCAAAAAGAATCTATGCAGTACCTGTGAATTTCAGGTGATCTAATGTTTTAATTGACTTTCACATTGGAAAATGTAAAGGATTTGTAGTTCTTATTGGGAGGGTAGACGGTTATTTAAAAGGTGTGCAACTCCATTTTGATTTGTGGTATTCCTAAATCTTACTTTCCCTGATTTTGTTTTTGTTTTGTTTTTGTTTTTGTTTTTGGTCTCTTTCAGCTGCTGGACTAATGCACACTTTTAATGCACATGCAGCTACAGATATCACAGGATTTGGTATTCTGGGGCATGCACAGAACTTAGCCAAACAGCAACGAAATGAGGTGTCCTTTGTTATTCATAACCTCCCTGTCCTAGCCAAGATGGCTGCAGTTAGCAAGGCGTGTGGCAATATGTTTGGACTCATGCATGGTACCTGTCCTGAGACTTCAGGTGAGTGACCTAATTTTTTTTCCCCCATTTGAATTTAACAGGACAAAAGGCACAGCCATGAACACCATATGTTGCATTTTTTGAAGCACAGTTGGCTTAGGATGCCACCGAACTAGTGAGCATTAGCCATGCAACTGTTCACAATTATTTTTATTTGTTTGTTTATTAATTTTTTTAGCCTGGTCTCCAAACCACCAAGCTATTTTGATTGTCTCACTTCTTCCTTATGAGACATTATATATTATAAAACCTCCAGACTGGAACATCTGGAACATTTCACATTTCCAAGATCTGAATTTTTTTTAAAAACACGTTTTCTGAAATGTGCACTATGGAATACAGTACTGAGTACGTGCCTGGCGTAGCACAGGCAACAATTTGTTTTCTCAAAAGTAAAATTGCCCACAGGATGGTTGCCAATCAAGTCACTTTTTCCATTAGAAATGTATGTGGATTTTAATGCTACACTTCATGATTTGGGGTCCAAACCTTTTTCCCTATCAACAGCATGGATGCAAACAATATACATTTATTCCCTCATTATCTTCTGTTGTGTCCCCAAACCTGATTTGGAGGGATTGTCTCTAGCCATAAAAAGGGAATTTGTTCTCCAAGTAGTGATCAATACTTGGTCTCTAGAGTCTGTCAAAAAATACTACTTGTTGTTGTGGGGTGACTGGGAAGGAGGATCGATAGTTTGCTCTTATGTGAAGCAGGAAGTCTGGAAACTAAGTGCTCTCTGCAAACTGCAGCCTGTCAGAAGTCCTCTGTAGAAAGGCCAACCAGGTCTGAGTTGAGCTGACCAGAGCCTTACTGCTCTTGGTAAGAGAGAAATAGAGGCTGCTTCTGGGGGCTACCTGCAGAGACCAGGATT